CTCGAACAAGGGCGAAAAATCTCGGAGTGCCCGTGTGCAAGTTGCGCACGTTAAAGATCCCTTGGTGGTCTGAAATCGATAAGAGTAGGCTTCAGCCGCCACCCGGGCAAAATTCGAAAAATCCCTACCAACTGAAAGTATTAGTTGTGTCCGGCGCGCTCATATGACCTTATGCAGTTGCGAGCGCCGTAAAACACTTACCAATAAAAAAAAAAAAAAGACTAAGCCTCTCACTTCTTTGAGTTGCTGTGATGAAAGAAAGGGAGTCATTTTAAAAACCCCCAACTGATTTAGAGTCTGGTTCCACGTGCGCGAATGTAGTTGAGTAAACAATCCCTCAATTTGAGCCATAGAGTTACCCCCTTTTGAACTAGAGTCCGTACGAGGTTACGTGACACGGACACATTTGAGTTTGTTGGCGGCCATTTTTAATGTGGCTAAAAAGTTTGTTTACATGTGAGTGGGCGTGTCTCTGCTCTTAGTCTTATGTGTTTTATTTGATTCTAACGTTATGTTTTGGTTCAAAGCGATTCTCTTAAAGGTGCAAGCATGTGAAACCTCTTGTCCCTTTCTGGATTAACGTCTTACTGGTTCTGTCAGGCAGTTCAGTGATGTCTGTTTTCTTTTATTACATCATCTATTTTTAGTGCATAATATGTCTTATAGACACAAATAGTCCCTCCGGGTTTCTTTTTTAAAACAAAGAGCCATCAGTAAGGTTCTAGGCCATGTGAAGTTAAGGTTGACTAGCAGCTAGATCTTTTTCACAATGGGCAGGAATTTTTTTAATCAAACTGAAACAGTGTACTTTTTATTGTTTTGTTTTATTGAATGTTGTCCAAAAACACCTTAGTAAAGGTTTTTGTTTCAGTTATCACTACACTGAGTAGAAAAACAATTGACTAGGCTACAAAACAACATTTAAGTTCACTTTTTTATCTTTAGTGAGTCCAGAGTTGTCACAGTTGTTTTACTAAATGTCCAAAATTTGACTTACTTAAAACAGCAATAGAAGGAGCTTTAGTTTAAGTGCTGTATATGGTCTACTTTAGTTCTGAAAATCAATATAAACCAAAGTTTAATACCGACATAAGAAAACACTACTTATAATTTAGTATACCTTTTTAAAAAGTGAACATATGAATGAAAAATACAGTTTCCTGTTCAAATGTCACAAGGGAAAGTTTAACTCGATTTTAAAAATACCATACATGTATTCATCATTTGTTTGACTGAAACAAATTTCTACACCTAAAGGCTGAAAAACTCTGGATTTTTTTTTCCTATGGCTCATCCTGATTTAATTTAATGCCAAACTCATATATCTGAGGGAGGCCGGGGGAGGGGGGGGGTGTTGTTGGTATTGGGATTCGGGAGGAGAGAGAGGGTGGGGTGGTTATGGGAGGTTCCCATGACACCCACATCTTTTCATACTTCTTTTTAAAAGTTCTATAGGCCCTATGCGCTGTGATTCGGTCAATAAGAAATAAACCACCTCGTAGATAAAGTGCTGATGAAGAAATAAAGGTTTTTTTCTTCTTCTTTCTTTAAAAGTAAAAGCCCACATCTCTATCTATTTAATAATACATTTATTTGTAGATCTAGTTGTAGAAAGAACGCCGTATTATTGCAATTTAGTAATTTAGATATAGTACGCCACGGCGCCCATGTAAAAAAAAGAATCAACAAGAACCAAGCGTCGCCTATCGCGTATGAGAGAGAGAGAAAACATGCCTAGCCCATTGCTTTAGCATGAACTCCTTCACACAACTTGCCACAAAAAACATGGCGGACGCCGCTGTCAAATGTGGCCATCACGCAGCAAGGCGAGAGAGGGGCGTACTGTATCTAGTACTATAGTGTACATCTATGATTTGAGCAGTGAACAACCGAGGTTAATAGTAATAGTGAGTTTGCACTCCGCTTAACGTGCCCACGAACTGTGACTTCAGTTTGCTCAGACTTATGGACTGTACAGCATGAGCAGATTAAAACATCGAAAGTTGTTGAATGTAAACATCTGAATTGTACTAATTTTCCCACTGTTTGATGGAATGAAAGAGCTCGCCTGCTGTCTTTATGACTTAAGTGAATAGTCTTTTAATGGCGGGATTGGTGTACTGTAAATAGCATATATGTCCAACGTTTATTTCAATGATGTGTTCAAACATTAAAGAACAAACTAAAGCAACAAAAAAACCCAGCAGCAATAACAATTATAATAATAATGATAATAATAATAATAATGAGAATAATAATAATGATAAAAACAACAGCAATAATAATAACAATAATAATGATAACAAAAACAACAACAATAATACTACTACTACTACTACTACTACTACTACTACTACTACTACTACTACTACTACTACTACTATTAATAATAGTAATAATGATAATAAATTCATAATAAGAAGAAGAACAATAATAAGAACAATAATAAACTCTGAAAAAGGCCATGGTCCTTGATAACGCCTCACCCGCTATCAGAGCTGTCAGGAACGCTGCCAAAGTCAGGAATGCTTTCCTGGGCGCCATAGCTGCAGCTGATGTTATTGTTGTGGTTTTTGACTGGATGTAGCGTTGTTCTCCACCTGAGGAGGGGGGGGGAGGGGGGGGGGGGAGGGGCAATGTTTACGTTTTCGTAAGACTTTTGGGAAGGACTTCCGTAACGAGCGACCACCCCAGCCTACGCAATAAAGAAGGGACTTTTGAGTGGGATATGTAAAAGATAGGGTTTAGTATTTGGTTGGGCAATAAAGAAAGTAAAGAAAATTAACTTAATTTGTGTTACTTTGTATTCCTATTGCCTTCCTTTGTCTCTTCACCTGGAATGGGTATTATTAGTGACATGTTGACATCTCAAAGCATACACAATAATATGACATGATTAGAAAAATCAGTGGCGTGGCTGGGAATCGAACCTGTGAGTGAGGGAAGTAAACATGATTAGTAGTCCAGCAGCATAACCACTATGCCAAACAGCTGGTGTTACCAATGAATGAAAAAAAGTTCTTATAAACCTACTTGAGTTAAGTGTGAGTGTATCACCTTTTAAAATTCCCAAAACGCAATTATTTTTTACATCAAATGGTTTTGACGAGGTTCCTTTGCAAAATTAGGAAAGCTGATGCAATCGGCTTGAAAAAAAAACAAAGAAAGAAAAAAAAGTAAATTTCTGAGTCGACTCTACCTCATTTGCATATAAAAAAACGACTTCCGGTTTTTTCGAGTTGCCATCGTGGACAAGCGCGGCTTTCTCCGTACCAGTCTACTTGTATTTCGTTCTTTTCGTACGCCCGTGTCGCGGAAAGGGATGAAGCGAAAAATTATACAAATAACGATTTCATTTCTCACGTGTTTTGAACAGACGAAGAAACGGAAAACCTGTCCCTAAAACTTACTCTAATCAAGGAGGCAAGACTCCCCCCAC